CGTCGCAGCAGATGTTCGCTGAGGCCGTTCGGACCGCTTCTTGTTCCAAGGAACGCAAAGAGGATGCGTACGGAGGAGGAGCAACCAGGGGGGGATGGGGAGCCACCGAAGCCGCCCCTCTTCCACCTTTGCCTCCACTCGCGTTCCCCCGCCATTCCTTCTACAGGCTCGGAAACGTTTTCTCCCAACGCCGCCGCACGCGCCCATGCCGACCCACAGCGTGTTGGGAATGTCCACGCCCATACCGCACGTCGTTTTGTAGCGCAGTCGTGCAATGCGAACCACACTGCTGGGTTTTCATTGTTCACGGTGCCATTACTTGCCCAGGCGAATTGTGATGCTTTCCCTTGTGCAGTCTGCCATTTCGAATCGCCGCCACAAGTTGTGAGAACGTCTCAAACGGAACCGGGCCCACACCAGGCCAAAGCAGGGCCAAGCCAGGCAATTGGTGAGGACGTCTCAGGCAGAGCTGGGGCCAGACCAGGCCAAGCCAGGGGCCAAACCAGGCAGATGCCGTGGCTGTTTCAGGCGGGGCGCGCGCGGCCAAACCATGCCAAGCCAGCCGTCCCGTGCAGCACCGCCCAGACCAGGCTCCGTCCACTCTCCCGGGAAGAGTTCCAATGCAAGAAGCGGGTCACCGCGGGGGGCCCCCGCTGGCGGAGGCCCGCTTCGATGTTCATGGGGGGTGGGCGTTTGCACCAAAAACGTCCGCGGAGGCGGACGGGGGGTCCGCGCAGAAGCCTTTCTTTGTGCTCCGGGTGATGTTGGGTTTTCGGTGCGGCGTTCGGAAACATACTTCCGAGCCTGTGGCGTCCTGTCCTCGCCTGGCCACCTCCGCGGCGCCCTTCCAAGGAGATCTTGATGAAGGCGCTCCGAGTTCCGACGCCAGCGCTCTTCCGCCAGAGAGGGAGGGGAATTTCGAGCAGCCGAGGATGGTGATGAGGGGGTGAGACAGGAAAGGGTAGGAGGTGAGCAGGCGAGGGAACTCCAGGCAAGCCCACGAAGAATATGCATCGCTCCATAGCGCTTTGGATCGGCCGCGGAGCCCGAATCCTATTCCAGACCCGACGGCTGCCAACGCTCAAGAGTTATCACTGCCCGTTGTTGTCCTCTCCTTGTCGTCGTATCATTGGCCTCCTTGCGGTATTCAAGTGGTCATCTGACTTGCTCGGACCGTTCGATCCCGTCTTACCTCGAGCCATCATTCGGGGTCCCTCCTCCGGCTTGTGCGGGCCAGTACTGAGTTGTGAGAGGACCTGTGCAGTGATGGATGACGTGGATGATGGGTATGAGTGGCGGTCTTCGAATAGGAAATTGGAGCAGAGTGGGAAGGGCGGGAGGAGAAGTGTGCGGGGGCCAAGTTCGACAGGTCGAACGAGTCGGCGGGCCCCGTCCATTCCCACCCACCCTCCCATAACACAATGATCAATGGTGGTACCACTCGATATCGGGACTGGGGCGCATTCCCACCCAGCGAATGGAAGGCGCTCGCGCGCGGTCCCGCTTCCGACAACGTGGCGAGGGCGGAAGCGGAAGCGGAAGCGGAACTTCAGGAACAATCTTTGCGCAGCGTTGTGGCGAAAACGCCATTTTAGCCCTGTCTCGGGCACCATTTAGCCTTTTCTCGGGCACCATTTTTGTCTCTGTTCTCGGGCACCATTCAGCCTTTTCTTGGGCACCAGTTCGCCTTTTCTCGGAGCGCGGCGATGACGAAGCAGGCGCCGCGCCGAAACAGCACTACCGCCTTCACGCGAAAGCTGCGCGGCTCTTCAGCGAGGACAGCATTTCGCCCACTCTCGCGCGGTCCCCCTGCCGCTGCCTGTGTCGTGCTTCGGCTAGCGAACCATGCGACTCGGGAATGCCACTTCTAGGCGACATGCGCACGGAGCCCAGGCAAGGGCGACAGGTCGCTTGCTAGTGCGCGGCCCCGTCCCCAACGATTCGACGGGGGAGAAGCATGCGCCGCGCCGAGGCGGGGGCGCCACTCCCAGGCGAAATCTGCGCGGCACCGAGGCGAAAACTAATTTGTTGCCTGCCCGCGCAACGACGACTTGGAGAGCGACGAGTGTGCCGCGCCCAGGCGACCAGCGAGCGCGGCGCCGCGGCACGAGCTCCATGTTGCCCATTCGCGAGGATGTGCGCCTGGTCCCATTTCCGCCACGCTTTTTTGCAGTGTCGACGCCCGCACCTCCATGTCTAGAGGGAACGCGTCGACTTGTACGTCTAGTAGCCCTCGGCTCATCCCGCCACGGCGCCATGGTTGCAGGTCAGAGAGATCTGATGGGGATTTTTTGGGAGGCCTCTTCGGGATCCTCTTGGAGGCGGTTTTGGGGTGTCTCGGGGGCCTCTCAGGGGCTCCTTGGAGGGCTCTTGGCGTCCCTGGTGGCGATCGCCGACTGCAGCACGTGGGCGAGGGAAGAAAGCAGGGTCGATCGCGCGCACGCTCGCGCGCAAGCTCCTCACGTGAGGCCGCGCGTGAGCGCGCTCTTCTCCGCGCGGTGCACCACGCTGGCGGCCCCCTGCAGGACGCCGCGCAGTGCCGCTGCGCTTCCTCGCGCGAGGCCCGCGCAGCTTCGCCGCCCGCGTGCGGCCTCGCCCTGCCGAGCCCGCGGGGGTTGGCGCGGGGAGCTGCGCCGCCCCGCGTCGTCGACGCGCGCTCTTGCTCTGCCCTCCCGCAGGAAGGGGGAGAAGTCCACCTGGATACTCGCCCGCCCGGATGGGCGGGCAGACGTCCATATCCATATCCACCGCTCCCCGGGCCCCTGGTGGACGACCCCACGGCAGTGGATACGGACATCTTTTGGCGGCGCAGGAGGGACGGCGGCCAGTCAGGGCTGCTCGCGGTCCGATTCGATCCACTCCGACCCCAGAGCTTTGACTCCGCTTGCGACCCGATCCGGCACGAACCGTCTGCCTCTCCCGAGCATTTTCTTGGGGTGGAGGGCAGAGGGTGAAATCTGAAATGCCGCTTCCACTGATTTTCGAGGCTCGAATCTGCAAAAGGTGAATCACAAGACGGATTGAGTTTCGAGGTGCAGAAGCCCATACGGATTTCACCCTGAGCCCTCCGCCCTAAGATTAAGTCGGGCCTGCCCCTCCACAGGAGGACGACTTACCCCTAAGAGCATGCTGAGCCCTCTGGCCTGCAGGTGCCGAGCCCGCTCCGCGATCCCTGGCCAGCCGACCCCCGGTCGGGCTGGGCGCCGCTGCGGGCGCGATCCCGTCCGCTGGCGATCCGTTCCGGTTCTGCGGCTCGGTCCAGCGGAGGCCTCGGCTAATTAGACGTGCGAGCGACCTGTCGCCGGAGTGACCTCTGGTGCGGGCCCAAATGGGTCCCCCAATCGCCGAACGCGCTGCGACGTAGGCGGATTGCGCGCTTGGGTCTGGCTCCCCCGCGCCCCCCGAATGCCGCGCACCAAGGGTCACTCTCACCCAGGGTCACTCTTGCGTATAGCCGAAGGCCTGCCAGTCTGGCGTACGATCTGTTCCACGTGTTCGGGCCTCCTCAGGCCTCCAGAGGCCCTCTGGGGGGCCCTCCGAGGCTTCCAGGGTGGTGCACATCGCGCTGGCCTCTTGGAAGTGTTGGCTCCGTGCACCTCCGCTGGTCGCAGGCCTCAGGTCTTGTGTTTGTGAGCGATGTATCCAGAACGGTTATCGCATAGGATGTAGAAAGCAAGCGGCATGAAAGAAAAGATACGCCCTGCGAGCCACGGCCTTTTTTCAACACGGGCCTGTCCGAACAGCTTCGAGAGCCAGGACCCTCACATATCAGTCTGGCTCGAAAAATGCCGCAAACAGCCGAGGGTCTAGGGCTGCGCCGTGATTTCTAGCATGATCTTGCTTCGCGTCGTCACGTCGGCGGGGCTCAGGGCAGCCAGAGCCTCGCCGCCTCCTCCGGAGCCTCGCGCCATCTCGGCTGACCCCAGGCCGTGGGAAGGGAGGGCACGGCAGGGGCGATGCACCGCGCAGGTCCGGCCTGCCTGCCCTGCCGGGGGCAGAGGTGGGAGGGCGCCGACCTCATGCCTGTGGAAGCCGATTAGTGGAAGGGAGGCGTGCTGCCGAATAACTTCCAGATGTCTAGAAAATGCCTGACACACTTTTGAATATGTAAAAACATGTTTGGAACATGTTTATAGCATGTTTCACACATCTCAAACCCATTTTTTATTCAATGATAGGACTGTTAGAGTGTCCACTGTCATGGCATCCACAACCTCATGCGCACTTGCACCGATCCTGCCCAGGCCGGACCTGGGTCCAGTGTCGTGCACACGCGTTGACAGTTCGATGTGATAGCAGTGCGCATGACGTTCGACAGCTCGCGACAATCCCAGCAGACGACAGCCGTCGGGCGGCGCTGCCGCCCATAGCGTTGCATCGCTGCCCATGTGCTTGACGCCCGGCTTGCATTCATTCGTTCGACCCGCTTCGACATCGAGTTTGGCCAGATCGATCCGATTCGATTCCGATATGCCACCGAGCCGAGCAGGCCTGCAGCTTCCATGCCATGCCGCTGTTGTGTATCTTGGCGCGGCCGATTCGTTTCGATCTCGACCCCGTGCCGATGCAGCCCGATCTGACACACGCTCCGATTCCGCGGACGACTTGTGTGCACCGTACCGCGTCGGCGTCTCCCGAGGCGTCCTCGACCCTCGACCCAGGAATGGTATACTGTGCCTCGTGCTCTGGCCCTCAGGGAAGAGAAGCCCTGCGCACCGCCCGTGCTTCTGGGCGGGGCTTAGGCAGGGAGTCCGAGCACGGCACGCCTGCGTGAGCGCAGCTCTTGTGCCGACTCGGCCCCCTTCCCCGAGCCGATGCCGACTCGTCCTGCCGAGCTTGGGCCCAGGACGGGCCCGGCCAGGATCGGTGCAGGCGCGCGCGGCCGGCGCCGCCTCGGGTGGAGGCAGGCGTGCGCCCGGAGGGGCGGGCTGCGGGCTGCGGGCTGCCTGAAGGGGCCGAGCAGGGCGTGCCCCGCTCGGAGGCCGGGGCGGTGCGGCGAGGTGTCCGACCAGAAGATCGAGGAGTACAAGAAGTACATAGAGAACGTCGCGATCCTGCAGGCGCTGCTCGCCGCAGAGAAGGAGGTGGTCGCGAAGGCTCGGGCGCGGGCTCGCCGCGGAGGGCAGGGGGCGTGGAGTGCCGCGGGCGTCAGTGTGCCTGGGGCTGGGAGAGGGGATTTGGAATCGGTGGGCTGAGGCTGGCGCTCTGCAAGCTCGTTGCTTGCCAGGAGCACGGGGGCTGGTGGAATCGGTACGTCGTCTTACCAGCCGAGGCCCTCTCTGGGCAGTCGTGGGTCCTCTTTGGGCGCTTGAGGGCCGTCTTCGAGGTCTATGAGGCCGTCTTGGGGGCCTAAGGGCCTTCTTGGGCCTCTTGGGGGCCTCTTGCTGGCCTCTTGGGGGCCTCTTGCGGCGATCCTGGGGGCTTACTGGAGCGCAAGCCCGAAAAGGCGAGAACGCTAAGTTAAAGCTGGAGGCCTCTCGCACCAGGGCACCCTGGCATCCGGACACCTGGGCACCCAGGCACGGGCCGGCAGACCGGGGCACCAGGGCAGGCACTTCAACCGCTGGGCACCCAGGCACGCATTCGCACGCATGGGGGCCGTGACGCCCGGGCACCCAGGCGTCGGGCAAGCGGGTGCCCAGGTATCCGGGCAGGCGCCCAACTGCATCAATTGCAGGGCACCCGGGCGGTTGGCCGGACACCAGCCAGATTCTGGCCATGCTTTCGGGCACCCGGGCACCCAGGCACGGGCACGGGCTCGTGGGCACGGTAAAATAGTCATACCCGGGCCGGGCCCAAAACCAGGAAAAGGAAGTGGGCTGTTATGAGGAAGTGCGTGAAACGGGATGAGAGAGAGGAGTAGGTCGCTGGCTTTTGCCTCTGGCTGCCGTCCCCCCCGTGCTGGGGGTAGAGTCGAGGGAGGAGGGTGATGGGAGACCTTCCAGCCCGTTGCAGGGCCGATCGCGCCATGGCGGTCTTCAGTCGAGGATGAAGAGGAGGACCACAGAAATATGTAGGTATTGTTAACTATTGTTACTACTATACTGGCGTGCGTGTTGTTCATGCTTTCTGAGTGCTCGGAAATCTGGGCGCGCTGGGCGACCGCCGAGGGACTGGCGTAAGAGGTATGGCCGCTGCCGCCGACGCCCCAAGAGCTTGATCTGAGTGCTTTCATTTCCGTGCGCTCAGAAATCCGAGCGCTCATACTTAGTGTAAGTTGATCTTAGGGTGTCGTCAAACATCACAAGGTTTCTGGCACGGTTTCCACGGCTTCTTGACGGTTTCCTGAGGTTTTCGCAGTGTCCGTTCATTTCACGCTACGTGCTTTCATGCACTCAGCATCAGAATCCAGGTCTTCGCTTAAGACGTCCTCGCCAAGCGGCAGGTGTTCGCCCAGGTTCCTGGAAGGGCCAACACAAGTCAAAAGCAGAAGCCTTGCCTTGTCTGAAGGGTCCCCGAACGGGAGGGTGTACGGAGGTGGTGAGGTACTGAGGTGGTTTCATCCTGCAGCTCCTGCGACGAAGTTATTTGTGGTCGTGGCGATGGCTGCGGCGGCGCTTCGGCCGCTCGCAGCAGCTGCTGCTGCTGCCTCACAGGCCCTCGTGGAGATGCACTTCCGCAAAGGCCCCGGGCGCCCCGCGCCTGTTTGAGCAAGCGCCGATTGGGCGCGAACTGTGGCCCGTGGTCAGGGTACTCCAGATTTCGTAATAAAAGGGAGGGGGTCTCATTTCGGGGGGGGTCTCTTCCAGGCTATCTTGGAGGGCCTGGGGGGGTCTGGGGACGATGTTTTGGAGGGTTCTCCCACGGGGGGGGGTCTGAAATGGCTTGTCTTGGAGGGTCCAGACCCCCACCCTTTTATTACGAAATCTGGAGTACAGAGTTGCGCCTCCCAGGCGCCGTGGGGTGACCTGGAGAAGGCGGCAGGGAGCGGGGATCCGCATGAGGGTTGCAGCACGCGCTGTCACCTCGCTGATGCCTCCCGCTGCTGCCGTTGACGCTTTGGATGTCGTGTTGTGGAGGATGACCAACGGAGAGGAAGCATGCTGCCAAATAATCTCCAGATGTCTGAAGCATGTGTCAAGCATGTTGTAAACATGTGAGAAGCATGTTTCGAGCATGTTCCGACATTTTCTAACACATCTTAAATTCGATGATCGGACTGTTGGGGTGTCCCTTGTCGTGGCATCCGCAAGCGTTGTACTCGCCAGGGCCCACGCTCGCCGGAGAAGAGTAGACGAGACGAACGTTACAGTCGGGAGGCCCGCGCTGGTGTCCTGCATCGGCGAGGCGCGCCGGGGCGGCGCAGAGAGGCGCCGCCATAGGAGCCCAGCGCCGGCGCAAGACATCCGCAGGAGCCTCCGTAGGTCTCCTCCTCCTCCTCCTCCTCCAGGATTTTAGCTCCTGCAGCTCGAGCCTGCAGGGGTGCATCGAGCTCCGTCGTCGTCGTCGGTGCGGTGGGTCCGTGTGCCCGGAGGCCAGCCAGTGGTTTGCTTCTTCTCGCCGCCCGGAGGGGGGGACGGCCACCACGCACTGGCGAAGGGAAGTGAGATAGTCTGGCCGCAAAGCGGCCAACGAGCAAGCATGGCATGAACGTGGAAGGGCAGAGCAGTGATCGACGATATTGCGAAAGCCTTACGGCCGGTGCCGCCGACCCTGAGAACGACGAAGATGCAAACGAGGGGGGTGGGCAGGGGGAGGAGGATGAGTGGGAGGTGGAGGAAGGGTGGAGGAGGTGGATGAGGGAGGAGGAGGGGGGAGAAGGATGTGGAGGAGAAGCAAGAGGAGGAGAAGGAGGCAGAGGAGAGCAGGAGGAGGGGGAGCAGAGGGGGGGGAGGAGGAGGAGGAGGAGGAGGAGGAGGAGGAGGAGGAGGAGGAGGAGGAGGAGGAGGAGGAGGAAGAGGAGGAGGCCAGAGGCTTTCTTGGGACAGCCTGGGGCTCTCTTGAGGCCGTCTTGGGCCGTCCAGGGCTCCTCTTTTGGACAGATCGTTCGGCGATTCGGGGTTCTCTTGGACTGTCTTTGGGGCCTCTTGGGGCACTCATGGCCCGTCTTGGGGCTTTTTTGGGCTCCGGGACTCTCAGGGGGGGCGTCTGACCCACCCCCCTCCCCCCGGGACCACCCCCCCCTCCCTGACGGGAGAGGGTTCGAAGGGAGGGGGCTTCCCTTCGACTCAATTACGACGTTGCTCAATTTGCTTTGATTGGCGCGCTGAGGAGGTCCCTGGGAAAGGGGGGAGCTTCGACGAGCCCAGGGAAAGGGGGGAGGCAGGGAAAGGGGACGACAGAGACGACGACCAACGAATGACGGAGATGACGACTTGAACGGACAAGCCCCTCACACACGCCGACAGGGTCGGCGGATATTGCTACTTGTGGCGTCCAAAACCCCGACAGCAGGGCCCCAGAAAGGCCGTCCAGAAGCCTCCGAAAGGAGCTCTAAAAGCTCTGGGAAGGAGCTTCCGAAGGAGCTTCGGAAGATGTCGACAGCACACGCGCTGGGAAACAATCGGCGAAGGCCTCTCGGGGCAAGCTAAAAGCTCAAGCCGCCTGCGGCGAGGCTGGGACACGGAGGCCGGAACGAGCTCCAGGGCTACCCTGCGGTTCTGGCTTCTAGTCTGAAGCCCTCTTAGCTCTCCAAGGAGCTGTCTGGGAATAACGTCGCGCTGCTCCGTTTGATTTTTGCTTTTGCGCCAGGAACACTAGGGTTAAGTCGGGCGTGTCCCCCTACAGGGGGATTTTCGACAAATAAAAATACTTCCAAAATAGTCCAAAAATAGTCTGGGGATTATTTTTGGGGTATTTTTTTGACCTTTTTGGGGTATGTTTGCGGGTATCTTTTATTTTTCGTCGAAGCTCCCCCTGTAGGGGACAGGCCCGACTCAACACTGCGGGGCCCGTCGCGGCTCCGGAGGTTCGCCACGCCGCCGTTTTTTTGGGGGATTTCTCTCCCGCACGGCCTCTATTTTTGTGGTGGTGCCTGCCGCGAGAACGAGGCGGAGGCGCACAGCGGTGATTTTACCAGCCTGGAACGTATCCCTATCCGTATGCTGGGCATCTCCTCATCACGATGCCAATCTTAGGGATTCCCTTGTTTTTTGGGGGCGCATCCCGAAGACTGTCATCGCCTTCTGGCGTGTCAATCTTAGGGATAGGGGTAAGTTCGAGGCTGGTAAGGTCAGGCGCAGGGGGAGCAGCAGATCGGGCGCTGCCAGAGGAGTCCCTGGCCCAAGGCGCTCCTCCAGGATGTCTGAGGAGGCCCAGGTGGCCTCCAGAGTACAGGGGAGGTCCATGCCAAGAAACACCCTGCTTGCCTCCAGGGTGCCCTGGGTTTCTTGTGTTCCGATGGTTTTGCGATGGAAAGCGTGCCGTTCCCGCACCAGAAATCAATGGACTTCCTGGGGTCTCAGGGTTGGGTTTCTTGTGGAAGGTTTCTTGTGGACTGGCCTCCACTGTATCCCCCTCACGAGGCCCGGAGGGCCCCAGGGTTCCAAAACGGCACAAAGACCTAAGAGCGCTTTGGGCCATGCGCACCTCCGGCAAGCGGCGACCTCCTCCCCCGCTCGATCTTCTTCGATCCCTTCCCTCGATCCTTCTCGATCATCCTCGATCGATCCTCCTCGATCATCCTCGATCCGTCTCCCTCCCTCGATCGATCCTCCCTCCCTCGATCTTCTTCGATCTCTCTCCTCCTCGATCGATCCTCCTCGATCCTCCTCGATCCTTCTCGGTCGGGGGGCCACCCCCAGCAGCCTCCAAAGCGGAGGGGGGGAAGAGGGCGGGACGGGGCGGGTGGACAGCCGATGGGGGCGAGCCGGCAGCGGAGGCGGCGGGCGAGCGTGCTCCGCTCTAAGGAGAGAAAACGCCATAAGCATAAACTTTTGGCGCTCTGCGCGGACTTCTTGGATCCGCGCTGGGCCCCCCCTGCGGCGCCTCCGGCGCCGCCCCTGGCGCGCTCCGCGCGCCAGGGGAGGGGGTCCAGCGCAGATCCAAGAAATCCGCGCGGAGCGCCAAGATTTTTTTTTTTTTTTTTTTTTTTTTTTTGTATCCGCAGACGAGCTCATCATCCAGCAGGGGGAGGAGGGCAACACCTTCTACATTCTGTACGAGGGCTCCGTTGACATCGTCAAGGAACCAGGGGAGGAGGCGGAGGAGAAGGACGGGCAGCAGTAGAAACAGGGTCATGGTGACGATCACGAAAAGGACGTACGTAAGAGGATGAGGAGGAGGTGAGATGGAAAGCGGATGATGATGATGATGATGATGATGATGATGATGATGATGATGATGATGATGATGATGATGATGCTGATGCTGATGCTGATGCTGATGCTGATGCTGATGCTGATGATGATGATGATGATGATGATGATGGTGGTGATGATGATTCTGATGATTATGATGCTGATGACGATGATGATTATCATCATCATGAGGAGGAGGAGGAAGAGAAAGATCAGGACGATTAGGACAATGAGGTGAAGGCTGGCGGATGCGGAGGGGGCATCAACATGCCCTGGACGCTCCTCATTGTGTCCACAGCGCGTCCAAGCTTCCGTATGTATGTATGTATGCATGCATGCATGCATGTATGTATGTATGTATGTATGTCTGGGTGTGTATGTATGTATGTATGTATGTATGTATGTATGTATGTATGTATGCATGCATGCATGCATGCATGCATGTATGTATGTATGTATGTATGTATGTATGTATGTATGTATGTATGTATGTATGTGTGTATGCATGTATGTATGTATGTATGCATGCATGTATGCATGTATGTATGCATGCATGCATGTATGCATGCATGCATGTATGTATGTATGTATGTATGTATGTATGTATGTATGTATGTATGTGTGTATGTGTGTGTATGTATGTATGTATGTATGTATGTATGTATGTGTGTATGTATATACAGGTATGTATGTACGTATGTATGTATGTATGTATGTATGTATACATGTGTATATGTATGTATGTATGTCTGTCTGTCTGTCTGTCTGTCTGTCTGTCTGTCTGTCTGTCTGTATGTATGTATGTATGTATGTATGTATGTATGTATGTATGTATGTATGTATGTACGTGCATATACCGTTCTACGAGTGCAATCCACGACGCCATCATGTGGAGTATTCAACGATCCTGCCGCCGACCTCGACGGCTACTATGCAGGGCTCGGTCGGAGTTCACGGTCTATAGTGACTGCGATGCTTTTTCGGGTTGAGATGGGGCTCGAGTTGTCTCATGGTATGTGTCCTGTGCTTCAAGGCTTGACATTAGCTCTGCTGGAGATGGCGCGCCTAATGGGAGCCTTTCTACGCCCGCTCCGCTTGATTTCTCCTTACCATTCCCTCCCCCATCCTCTCTCCACTCCCCCTCCTGCTCCTGGGCCTCCTCCTCCTCTCTCGCCCTTTGATGTGCTTCCCAGATGCTGCCAGAGTTATGTCTCCAGATGCGTCCAGGCTTCCGAGGGCCTTTTGATAAGAGGCACTTCCTGATAAGAGGCGATGCCTGAAACCTTCCAGGGCCCGTCGCTGATGAGAGGCGTGCTGAAATCTCCTGCTGCGCATCGTCCTGGGCTTGCCTATCCTGGTCGTGCCCAGGAAAAAAAAACATGTGCCTTTCGGGGGCCGTCTTCTTGTCCCGTCGCTTGGCAGCAAAAACCGAGGAGTCCCTTTCCCCAACCCCCCCCTCCTCTCCCTTGGCTGCCTCCTCCCCCTCGCCCTTCCATGTGCTTCCCAGATGCTGTCAGAGTTGTGTCTCCAGATGCGTCCAGGCTTCCAAGGGCCTTCCAGACAGGTGTGGGGGGTCAGGTGCGGGCTTCCCCTGTGCCCCGGGTGGTGGGTATGAAGCCGATTGGTTGGGATCTCGTGGGAGGCCTCTCGGGGGCCTCTTGGAGGCATCGTGGATGCCTCTTCGGGGCTGTTCTGGGGCCTCTCGGTGGCCTCTTGGGGGCCTCTTGGGGCCTCCTAGGTGCCTCTTGGGGCCTCCTGGCGGCCTCTTGGGGCGGAAGGCTCGGATTTTCGATTCGTGTTCCCTTCTTGGGCCCCTCTTGGGCCCCTCTTGGGGCCGTCTTGGGACCCTGTTGGGCCATACTGGGCGCCTCTTGGGCCGTCTTGGGGTCCTCTTGGGCCATCTTGCGACCCTCTAGGTGGTCCCTTGTGCCGCCTTGGGGCGGTCTTGGGGGCCTCTTGGGCCGTCTTGGAGCGTCGACAAGCTGGAAAGGTGAAACAGCCCAAATCCTTCAACAACCGAAGGACAATCAATGATTTTGGCTTCTTGGGGCCTTCTTCCCCGCATGATTGGTGGGTTCTGGTTTTCTTCCCTCCCGCGTCCCACCCGCGACGCTCCCACACACACACACATCACCTCCCTCATCACCTCATCCCCACAGACACACAGACACACGCACAGACACACATAGCGTCTCGCTCGCGTCTCCTCCTTCTCCTTCTCTTTCTCCTGCTGACTTGCGCTAGCGCTGACCGCGCATAAGCGCACAGCACACATACAGCACATATACACACAGCACACATTCTGGGCACCCACATAAGACAATACTAACAACGCCAGTGCACGCCTGGCGTGGTCACTGCATCATACACCCACGACGTATGCGCCACGTACTCGGCTCACACATGAGACACACGTCCAGATACAGCCGCACACACGTCCAGATACAGCCGCACACGTCCAGATACAGCGGTAATCTGATGGCTCGCGACCGCGCGCTGGCTGACCTCAGCGATGACCGCAGCGAAGAGAATGGCGAGATCTTCAAAAGGAGACCGCGAGGAGCGCTGCAAAGGCTAACATCGGGCGCCACATTATCACTAACAGCGACCAGTGCATGGAGAAGATCAATGAGGTCAGTCGCCTGGTAAGTACGAATGAAAGGACTGTGCACATTGACCAAGCCCGCGACGAGGTGGTACGCCACCTTAACCTGGTCAGCAAGGCCGTTGAGGACCACGGGGGGATGTCAGACGCAACCCAGGAGGATTCATCGGGTTAGTCGGCGAGGGCGAAGTCGGAGACGTGGATTCGTTGCCAGGCCGAGCACCCCTCGGGAACGTTATCGGCCTCAGGTGACGTCGGTAGCCCTCCACCTACGCGGTCTAAGAGCGCCGACAAGATAGAAATATAGCTGGCCGCTTAATCGGTGGAGTATCCAACTGTGGAGGTGGACAGGTCACCAGAGCGTGAGCGTGATACAACCCTCTGGACGCCGCTCCCCCACTTGGGCCGCCCAGTCCCATCATCGCCCCTGTCCGCGCGCGCTAGCGACATTGCTAAGCTGGACTTCTGCAAGACAGCGCCAGGCAACCTCGACATGCCTGAGGGCGTCGTCAACCTCGTGGAGCACTCTGACCGCGACCCTGATTTCAGGGGAGCCATCGCGCGCGCTTCAACTCGCCCAAAAGGTGGGGGAGGAGAGTGGTGGGGTGATTACTTCGCCGGGCGGGGTAGTCACCGCGCAATGCGTGACCTGCGGGCCCCGCGGGGTAACGTCATAACGTCATGAGCGGTGAGGGCTGCGAGAGTTACCGCGCCTCGTTCGAAGGTAGGTTCGGTGATTTTCACCGCGTGTTACCCGTGGCCTTTCTCCAGGGACCGCCCCCGCTGCGCTGGGCCTTGCCCGACAACCGTCGCGAGCAGCAAGGCGGGCGGGCGCGCCCGGTGAGCGTCGCCCAGGGCCAGCTCCCCGGCCATCGCGAGGCTGACCTTGGACCGCGCGTGCCGCGTCAACTGCCCAGGCACGTTTGCGACCTGGGGCGGCAGCGTCGACGCGCAGGTGCGTCTTGACCGCGTCCCTGAGCTCCAGGAATGGAGTGCGTCAACATGACAATCGCATGATTTGGCGTGCTATGGTAACAATGTCGTCGTCAGCTTGAAGTCCATTTCTGCCCGGTGACCCCGCCATCTGGAACGACCGCGGGAGCGCCGTGGCCAGGGAACGGGTTGTGCGATTCCTAACCAAAGAGCTGGCACAGGAGTTGATGACGTTGTGCGATGGGCTTAAGACTCGCTGCAATAACTTCGACGCGACCATCAGGGTGCTTAACGGATGGAGCCAGCCTTCTGTCGAGAAGCCACCCTTACCTTGTGCAGCGCGACCCACTCCGTGACTATGTGCCAGCCCTGCGCTGTCCGCGACCTTTGTCACCATGGAGACGAACATGGGTCCACCCGCTAGCAGGGGCGCGCGGCCACAAGGACGAGGACATCTTCTGTTAGGCCTAGCGGCCAGCAAGATGTTACCACATGTGGGCCGCTAACCAGATCTGGGTGGTGGACCCCCGTTCGGTTGTTAACTATGACGAGATTCGTGTGCCTGGGCTTTAACCGCGAGTGGGTTACGCTTGACTTGCATCATCCCGACTGCGCCTACTGGGAGGCAGTTGGGAGGCATAATGCCATCAGGCACAGGTCGGCGCAGAAGTTCCCGAAGGGCGATGTCGAGGCCAGGCTGGGGGCCTGTGCCGATGGTGACGAGTAGCCAAACCATCTGGAGAATGATCAGTTCAAGATAGCAAGTGGCCGCACTGGATGATGGGGCAGTTGACGAACGGCGAGCGCGAGACGGTGCAGAAGGCCAAGGCCCTTGGCAAGGGCAGGAAGCCGAGGTCAAGCCCGAGGGGACCCAATTGAGCGAGTTTGCGTAACCAGCTGAAAGTCTTCCAACCTCATTTTTGTTAAAGGACGGTCTCTGTTGTAACCAATGCAATCTCAATTCAAGTTCATGCGCATGGCAGTTGTGACAAATAGAAGAGGGCGGGAATCCAGCCATAGCCTAAATCACCTTTTGCGCTGCCATGATGCATTTGTTTTGTGCAGTCTTTCTCGCCTTGTACCTTGTGCTCGTGCTCGCTGAATTATGTATGAGGTAATGTCGGAGCCTTATCATCACATTTCTACCACCCATTACGCCGCAGCATTTGTACCGTTGTATTTCTGCGGCTTTCGCTCGTGGTGCGTGAGTTTATACGACCGTACACGTAATTTAGCCGACCTGGGTCATCAGGTTGACGCGGGGTGTTTCAATGTAGCCCTTTCAGGTAAGTGTGCAACCGTGACATCTGGTTCAAGTAATTGTAACCACCGTCGGGCGGTCTGACACAGCTTTGTACTTCAGCGTCGGCCGATTTTTGCAAAACAGAGCTCGATGCCCATTACCATCTTTCGGTTAAGTTTGCAGCCGGGTCGAGGCGCACGCAACAGGGCTCAGCGCCGACGGGGGTCAGCAGGCGCCCTCCGAGATCCCCTCTGGCCGACACGGGTTCTGGGGCCACCTGGGGCCGAGCCCGCTTCCCGTCCCATCCGTTGGCCCAGATTCGTGGGCTGATCGTGGCCGGCCCGCTTCCCGACGTACGGCCTGGCCCGGGTCAGCCCGTCCCCGACCGTCGGCCCGCTCCAACGCCCTTCCCCCGAACGTGAATATAGGGGGCCACATGCGAACCCTACCCCTACCCCCCACGATTTCTGAGGGGGAGGGTGGGGCTCACTTCGCTCGGGACCTCCCGAGCGAAGTGAACCCCACCCTCCCCCTCAGAAATCGTGGGGGGTGGGGGTGGGGTTCGCATGTGGCCCCCTAGAATAACACACCGTAGGAGGGCAAGGAGGGCGAGGAGGAGGAGGGCGAGGAGGGCGGGGAGGGCGAGGAGGGCGAGGAGGGCGCGGACTTCCGGGATCGGCGCTGGACGCCCCCTGCAGACGCCCCCGGTCGTCGCCCCCGTTTCCGTCCTCCAGCGCGCCCCGCGCGCCAAGCAAGGGGTGCGCGAAAGGGGGATCATCGCCCAGCCAAGAGTCAGCGCGGACCTCCGAAATGTTTTGTCCATGTAGTTGTGTGTTCCTGTACCGCGCGTTTGCGCTGTTTCGTCATTCTCCCCTTTGCCGCGATGCTTCATCACAGGACTCAAAGACGACGGCGAGTCTCACGGCGAGCGTCAAAAGGATTTCGATATAGTCTCTGCTCAGGGTTTGTTTTGAGTCAGAAGTGGTGGCAGAAGCATGGAGCAGAGGATTGTTTCAGGAATGGTAGTTACCATGAGCGAGCGACGAGTCAACCAATGCACCGAAACCCGTTTCGACCCACGTTCGGTCCTCCAAGATGCTGATTACGTAAGCTGTGTTTTGTTCATGCATGCTGGCTTCGAGTTGGTCGGTGTGTCTGAATGTGAGGTTTCCGGGTCGAGCTTTTGAGGTTCCAGGGGGCATTCGGTAATAGTTCTTAGTATTGGCCGACGCTTTGGCTGGCCGAAGACGCGCAGCCTGACAACGTCATTGTGGGACTGATTCCCAAAGAATTTATGGAGGAGCCAATAGAAGCTGCGACACCCTCCCTTATTCGTTCCGATGACGCAATATCGATGCCCAGATACACTCGCCTTTGTCATATCACAGTCAGAGATAATTGAGGCGCCTGGGTGTTGTTTCTTCGTCGAGGCGCCCGGGTGACACGCAGATGCCCCCGAAGCCCAGTGCAGTATTATATATTTGGAGACAGGCTAGCTTTAGCTTAGTGTGGACAGGCCGAGGCTTCCGTTCTCCGCGGTGGGCTTGGCAAGGGGGAATGTATTCCCCCTTGGCCACTCCCTTCTACTCCTCTTCTTTGTTCCCCACCTCCGAATGGGGTCCTTGTTATCATTGTCATGCCTTCACCTCCCGCATTCCTTCCCGTTTCCTTCCCCATACCTCTTCTCACTTTCCCCCGCCCACATTCAGGTTCTTGCCGCTCCGCGTATCCCCACCCTCTTAGCGCCGAGGTTTGCAGACTCCCTACTGTTCAGATAGTGTACCCAAGCGGCGTACTGCTTGGCCATGGCCTCAGACACCTTGGGGTTATTTGCATCGCGCCATTTTGGCAGCGTAGTTACAGACTCCCTGGGTGCAGGTCCCTGGGCGTCAGACACCCTGGGTTGCAGCACCCTTGCACCCGCCGCCCTGGCGCCGGCCGCGGCCCGCGCGCGCGTCCGGCCAATCAGTTTCGGCCGCAGCCCGACCGTTACTCGCCGCCGCTGGCGCTTCCGCCCGCGGCTGTAAAAAAAAAGTATCCCCACCCTCACGTGCATTCGCCTCAGTGGCCAATTTACATCGTCACGCGCCCCGGACGCTGTGTTTGCTCCCTGTCATCCGCCTTGGAGCCGCGAACCAAAAAAGTATCCCCACCCTCTCCCCGGACATTGCCTCTCGCCGCCAGACCGTCGTCGCGCGGCCGCCGACCAAAAAGTATCCCCACCAGTCCATGCAAAAACGATGCTTGTGCGAGCTGCTCTGATCGGGGTTTGCACCAATACGCAGTGGGAACAGAGAGGGGGGCCTGTATCTGAACTCGTGGCTCTGTCGAATAAGAAGGACACAGGAGGAGGAGGAGGAGGAGGAGGAGGAGGAGGAGGAGGAGGAGGAGGAGGAGGAGGAGGAGGAGGAGGAGGAGGAGGAGGAGGAGGAGGAGGAGGAGTGGTGCTGCTTCTGGTGCTGGTGCTGCTGCTGGTGCTGCTGCTGGTGCTGCTGGTGTTGCTGCTGGTGCTGGTGCTGTTGGTGCTGCTGCTGCTGCAAGTGCTGTTGCTGGTGTTGCAGCTGCTGGTGCTGCTGGTGCCGTTGCTGGTGCTGGTGCTGCTGCCGTTGCTGCTGTTGCAGGTGGTGATGCTGGTTCTGCTGCCGGTGGTGCTGCCGGTGCCTGCAGGTGCTTCTGATGGTGGTGCTTTTGCTGCTGCTGGTGCTTCTGCAGGTGCTGCTTTTGGTCTCGCTGCTCGCCGTGCTGCTGGTGTTGCTGGTGGTGGTGGTGGTGGTGGTACTGCTGCTGCTGGTGGCCAAAGCGCCAAAGCGGGCACCAAGGGTGAACGGAGAGATTTCTGGGAGTGAGGAGGGGCTTTGGAGAGCCCCCTGGATCCATCTTTGGGTCCCGCGCAGGGAAGGCAAGGAGGAGGAGGAGCAGGAGGTGGAGGAGGAGGAGGAGGAGGAGGGGGAGGAGGGGGAGGAGGAGGAGGAGGAGGAGAAGGAGGACGAGGAGGAGGTGGAGGAGGAGGACGATGCCGATAAGAGGTTGGAGCAGGAGGAGGGAGGAGGAGGAGGAGGAGGAGGAGGAGGAGGAGGAGGTCGAGGAGGACGATGCCCATGAGAGCTGTCGGGGACATGGAGGAAGGGACACACGTAGCGAAGCACAGCGGGCAACGAGGACGAGGAAGACCTTTCTCGAGGACAAGGAACTCCGATGACGAGGATCCGAAGGGCGCGTGAGGGCGAGGAGGAGGAGGTGGGCGCGATGCGGAGGATGGTGACGAGGATGAGGATGAGAAGGACGAGGAGGAAGAGGAGGAGAAGGAGGAGGACGACGACGAGGGGACGAGAGCGAAGATAATGATGAGAAGAAGGACAAGGACGAACACGATGACGATTCTTAGGAGAAGGTGGAGGACGATTACGAGGACGAAGATGGGAGCGAAGAGGAGGAGGAGGAGGAGGAGGAGGAGGAGGAGGAGGAAGGAGGAGGAGGATGAGGATGGGGATGAGGAGGAGGAGGAGGAGGAGGAGCAGGATGAGGACGAGGACAAGGATGAGAACGAGGACGAGGACGAGGGCGGGGAGCAGGACGAGGAGGAGAACGAAGAAGATGAGGAGGGGGAGCAGGAGGATGATGAGGAGGAGGAGAGGACAACGAGAAGGAGGAGGAGGAGGAGGAGGAGGACGAGGAAGAAGAGGATGAGGATGAGGTCAATGACGGGGAGGACGAGGAGGAGGAGAAGGAGGAGGAGGAGGAGGAGAAGGAGAAGGATGAGGAGATTGGGAGGAGGACGAGGATGGGGAGTACGAGGATGGGGATCAGGACGACGCGGACGAGGACTTTTGAGTCCATCTTTGAGTGTTCGTGGGCCCTCACGTGGTCTTTTTGGGACTATCTCTCTGCCATCTTGGGGCTCTTTGAGGGGCCTTGGGGTCCTCTTGAAGCTCCTTTGGGGGGCCTCGGAGCCCTTTTGGGGCCCTCTTGGGGCCCTCTTGGGACTCTCTTTGGGCTCTCTTTGAGCTCTCGTGGGGGCCTCCTATGAGCCCTGGATGGCCTCTTGGGGCTATCGTGGAGGGCGTCGGTGAAAAGAGTGAGCCTAACGTTTAGGCCCCCTTATGGGGCCCTCGGAATCGCCCGGACCCCTCTTGGGGCGATCTTGGGTGCTCTTGGGGCCGTTCTAGGTGCCTCTTGGGCCAATCTTGGGGCTCTCTTGGGCCATCATGGTGTCATCTTCAGGCTTCAAATGCGCATTGGAAGCGAAACGGCGAGGAGACCGCCTTCAATGATGTTCCTTCGACTTTTGAATGATGTCGGCTTCTTCGGGGGGTCCCGAGGGGGGCTCCGAGAGCACTCGGAACTGTCGCGTGGCCCTCTTTGGCCTCTTCGAGGCATGTTGGAAGCCATCTTGAGCAATCGTCTGCTGTACTTGACCATCGTGGATGTCATCTTGGAGCATCGGGAGCCATCTTGGAGCCATCTTGGGCGAGACCGGTCGCTCT